CTTGGCCTTCTTGGCTCAAGGGCACATTGCTGCTCATGGGCATTGCTGCCACCAACACCCCAGGTCCTTTCCAGCCACTCGTCCCCTGCAGTGTCCATGGGGTTGTTGCGACCCCAGTGCAGGACCCGTGCAGTCTTGGTCCGTGAGGACCTATCTCATGAGCAGTCTGCTCAGTGCATTTCCTCTGCCGTTTGTGACACAGGAACAGGGTTCCTTACACCTGAGGTGCCTCATGCACGGACTGGCAATCTGGGAATTGCTCTGAAGGAGCACTGCACCTCTCCGTTTCATTTAAAAAACAAGCTGTGCCATCTCTGCGTTTCAGATCACTTGTCATCAACTCCTGCTTAGTTGAGTTCTGTCTCCCTGTGAAGGCCCTGGGTGTCCTCCATCACGTTGTTGGGGGTTTTTTACCTCCAAATCTTTCCTTTGCCGCAGGTTTTGACTTTTAGGAAAACTCAGCCTCAATGAATTTATGACCTTTTCTCCTTTTAAATAAAGCAGTTCATGTACTTTGCAGGCTTCTCTCCGAAAATTACTTAGTCCAAGGTCATAAAGTGCTGTAAGGTGCATGAAGTGCAGGAAGGAGATTAATAACTCCTGATCCCCAGTGCAAAACCACTAAAGAAAGAAATTCCCAGTCACCGTGGGTTTAGGGCAGAACCAAAGGGCAAGCTTGATGTCTTCCTCATAAAGATGGATTAATTAATTGAGTAAATGAATGTGAACATTGTTTTCTTTCTCTTTGCATACACCTATCTAGTGCACTGTGTGTATTTTGAGATTTGAGGATTTAGCTCTTGTGGCTTGGAAATCTTCCAGTTTGGGGCAAATTATAAATCAAGACCCGTTTCAGAAATGAGAAAGCAGGGTAAGACCGTGGAGCGGAGGCGTTTCAGGTGATACATTGACGACAAGAGCTTTTTTAATTAGGTCTAGGTCTCTGTTTTCCTGCTTTTTTCTAGCAAAAGGTGGTGAAATTTGGCATTTTGTTGTGAAAATACTTATAAAATTGAAAGAAATGTCTTCACCACAGTCAAGTGCTGGAAAGTCAAGCTATGCAGACATAAAACCTCAGCTGCTTGTGTCTGTCTAAGCTGTGTACCATCAGCTAATCTGACATGCTTGAGTAATTACAAGTAGGTGGACTTCTTCTTTCCTTATAGGCATTGAAAAACACATAAAAATGCTTAAGTGTCCGTGTCAAGCAGACTCTTACAGGGCTTTTTGATGTTGTTTTCCGTGTGGACAACTTCAGACACTGCTGAAGGGGTGCTCGAAACCTCACATCATGAGCAGCGTCCCCAGTGACATTTCGGATTCACAGTGGGTGCTGTGATGATCTAAACCCAGACCTTTTCTTCAGTAATGTCAGTTAATTGTGGTTTGTGGGGTGTTTCTGTAGGGAACGCCGATCCAGGGCAGCAAGCTGCGGCTGCCCGGGTACCTGTCGGGGAAGGGCTTCCACTCCGGCGACGACAGCGGGATCCTGTCCACAGCGGCCTCCAGGGTCAGAGCGCAGTTTGCAGGTGAGCAGCTTGGCTTCGGACTCTGTCTTTGGCTCTGTGTCCCACCTGAGCACTGGGTCACTCACGTTAGTGGGCAGGTACAGCACGTCCTGCTGTCTCCACACTGGTGTTGCCAGGGGTGCACACACTGGGATGTGGTTCCCCCCCTCACGTGGTTGTGCAGGGGGTGCAGTCAGCTCTGGGTGTGCAAATTCAGTATCTGCAGTGCGTCTACATAAGGAGCTGGGGAAGAAGCATTTGCTTCAAAGGAAAGTGTTCAGTTCTCCACAGTATTCATGTTGTGCTCAGCTGTGATGGAGCAAGGGGGTCGCTTCATCGTGACACGTCCATTTGTAAAGGAACTGCAGGAAGCAGTTGTAGATCACAGCATCCCAGGATGTCAGGAG